ATTAAAAAAAACTCTTTCCCGTGATTAACACTAAATATCATATGTGTAACATTGCAGATCGATACCCTATCCTTAAATCACTTAACCACCGCAGAAAATCATCGGCCCTGATCTACATGCATGATCAAAATAATCAAAATCTTGTGTTACCGGAAATTTTTGTGGTGCTGTCAGGCAGTTATTTTATTATTTATCTGACAAGATTAGTCCGTCGTTTGTCTATCCAAATAAAAATGGATAGTTTTAATGGCTTCACTGACCTCAATTTCGTAAATAATGGAATGTTACAGTTGTACGCGGATAATGAAAATTTGAATAAAATGATTAATGCGACAAAGGTTTGATTAATCAATAAGTTGCATTTGTATGAGATAAAGTCTAATTATTATTCGGTTTATTTCAGGCGTGGTTTACAGTTATAGCATGGCTTGATCCAAATAAAAAAAATGCTGGAAATAATTCAGAGGGTACATTTTTTCTGGTGAAATTTTATTAGCCTGTTAAATCATAAATTCAACAGATAAATTCTCTTGTTTCTTAGCGCCTTTGGAGGTCAATGACTCTCTGGAAATTCTCCGACATACTCCATTTGCAAAGCGGCTCTTGGAATGGTATCTTGGTATTTGTCTTCCATGCATTTATATCGACCATAATATTTTGCCGTCCTTCTATAATTAATCATAGTGGCCACAAATATAAAAAAAGCTGCAGTGTGTCGGCATTTTTCAGAGACTTTTAACATGAAATTAAAACAGTGGCGTGAAGCATGGGTGGCACGTAACTACCTTTTAGTAATGACAAATACTTTAAATGCAAATTATTAATCTTCATATTAATCAGTATATTACGTATTAGAAATTACAAGAGAACACAACTTCTAATTCTGAAATATTGGAAAATTGGGTTAGTAAATCTTACGAGGAAATTATTCACGATATCTATTCGCATTTCAAGAGATGTGAAAATTCATTATTTCTTATTAATGCTAGGTTTGCATAGTAAATCATTTAAATATTTTGTTATATATTAATATAAC